AAAATTGATGTGTAGTTACGCAGATGGGATAAGATTCTCGCTCACTCGATTCTTTAGATTTTGGCAACGTTTATTAATCTATGATTATACATTCAAATATTTATTAGAATTTATATCTACAAAGGTCTCGATTTGAAATCCATAAACTTGTTCGTCGATCGATAATTCTGGTGGTTATCAGAGTAAGTCGGAACTGGTAGAGATAGCCACATTTGAGATCGCTCACGTTTATAGAGCGCTCACGAACAATCTGAAATTCCATAGGTTTAGGTGGCTTAGAAGTATCAGAGTTTGTCGTGAAATAGTCTCGATGTATCAGTACATACTTGGCTTAGAGTCCAAACAGGTTCGTGAAGATCGTCAGTATCCGCTAGAACTCGATATTCCAACACTCCGAAAGCCTGTTCAATGATGGGATCGTTTTCAAGGTCGAACAGTAGTCTCGCGGAGATCTTCGAGTAGGTGACCAATCTTGCGCAACAGACGATCACAGAACGGATAAGGCCTCGATCTGAAATTCTCGTGAAGCGAATTAGCAAGGCTCTTGAGTTAAACTCTTTTTGTGTCTTACTACCCTGATTTCTTCTCTTTCCCAGCTGAAAAATCGATTTTTTTTTGCACTACGCGTTCAATAGAGAAATATAAAACACAATTATAGTGTTGAGCGCTTATCATTTCGCGCATTTAACTTCTGTTAAAAGTCTTAGTGGCATTTGAATTCGTTTCAGCCTACGCGAGACTCACTGGAGACTCCTCCCGGAAAAAATCAGTATCGATTTACGGTTTTCGGGCCGGCGGTGGGGGAGGGGGAGGGTGGAATTGAGGGCTTGTTCAGCCTGAGCGAGATTAAATTCTTGGGCTCTGGTTGTGATAGTTGGGCCACTCGCCTCTGCCTCACCCTCCGCCAAGGTCGATTTGGATCGAGGTATTCGGAGTTTTCGTACCGGAACATGATAAAATGGTGTTTTAGGGATTATTGGAAAGATTTGGATTTCAAATTAAGCAAGTAATCGATAAAATAATAAAAAGAAATCAATAACAAGGAATGTAGTGCCTTGTGGTCCATCTTCATAGATCATATTCTCTTTTCTAATGCAGTCTTGCACACAGCTATTACACTCCAATCGTCTCCATATTGTCTTTTCCAGATCATTGTTGCACTGAAAACAAAAACGATTAAAGGCATGCCCCAGGATCGAATTGGTGTGGCTCTTGCACACGAATGCGAATGTATTGGTGCGAAGTGGGCCGGCAGTAAAGAAAAAAGGAAAAGAATCCGTCGAAAACGCTTAGGTTAAGGGCTCACTCACCTTCGTAATCGGCTGTGCTAAGGGAATGAGAGACTAAGCGCGGAGAGGAGAGTATGAGGCGAGAGAGCGCAACAGATGAGAGGGCGCCAGACAACAGCCTGAAAAAAATTGCAGCTGCTGCAGCTTACTTTGCAAGGCCCTAGCGCTCTTGTCGGTTGGTTTCCGTGCACGGAATGCCACATCTGTGATTGTCCTCTAGGGTCTATCCTACAGACCGAAGGAATTGTTCACACGACTTCTGCCTGGGTTGTGCCTTTAAAACGATTTTTTGATTTTTGCCATTTCTGTATGGGTTGACAGCTGTGCTGCAAAGGCAAAAGTCCTGCTACTGGGTGCCACGGTACAAAGCTTTTTGTCAAAATGATCTGGAGATCGGTAGACCCTCACAAGTCGTCATGTAAGCCAAACAAGTATTCAAATTCTTCACGACATGCACCAAAAGCGAATTATTGAGGCGCACATAAACTGGTACTGCCGCAAATTTGGCACGCCGCAATTCTTATCCCTCCCTTTGAAATTTTTACCGCAATTATCACATGGTTTTTTCTGGGAGTTTTTTTTTTTGAAAATAATCATTGAATGTAAAAAAAAATACCAACCTCGCGTGTGCATTTGGTTCTGCAAACAATCAGTGATCGTGCTTCATAGAAATAGTTGGAGTGCCGGTTATGGAAGTGATAGAGTTTATGGGTGAGGTTACCAGCGTCTGAATAGGGACGAGGAGAGAAGGAGAGCAACGCGTAAGTTGACGACTCTTCATCCATAGTGGATCAAAAGCTCTTGGAGCTGACGTTAGTTGCCAAGTACTCTGGGTTGGCAGAATCGCTTCGGGAGACATAGTAGAACTGATAATTACTTGACAGCGCAGAAAGTACAGCCGTTTTATCGAGTCTGCTGGCCGCACAAGTTGCTTGCGTTCTGCTCAACCCTCTTTCATAGCAAATATATTTAATCTTGTTTTATCAGTCGCGAAACACAAAGTTAGTCGGTGTAATCGAAAAATGTAGGCTGAATGCGGTATTGTTACTGTTCTAGAGACTGGCCTTAAAGGACACACTCCAACTGACCAAACGTTGTAAATGTGCACCACGTAAGTGCGGTGGAAGAGAATCCTTAGTAAAAAGAGAAGACAAAAGAAAACATAAAAGTCACTGAAATGGAGAAATTCTCTTCTTCTGGATCGGTCGTGATGTAACTGAAAGACGCGGACGACAAAGAGAGAGAAACTACGCCGAGACTGCTAGCCGCACGAGGGATGCAGAAACCCCGTATTTGAACGAGAAACAGCGAAGAGGTCATAACAAAGCTCTAGCTCCCTTGTCACATTATTGCCATGAGATGTCACATCTGCAGCTTTCGTTCATGCTGTATCTTACCCACCAGAGGAACTGATTCGCTTCAACTCATTTAGATATGCCTTCAAGAATTTGTTTTCGCAAAGGAGGAGAGGAATCTGCCTTTGGAATATTTATTGCGCCATGACCTGCTTGCCTTCAAGGAAAGTGTGGAAAGTGTCGGTGCAGACCGGGTCAGTAAAGACTGGTAACTATACACCTAATAAGAATACTGTCGCGGAATAACTTTCGAGGTGCGCGTCATTAGAAGACGGCCTAGGGGTACGAAACCACTCAAATGCGTGTACTACCGTGGAGCGCCAGTCGAGTTGGAAACATACAGAAAACACTGTTACCGTAAAACGTAATACCTGAAAAAAATTAGACGAGTTTTTTTTTGACAAGGACTGCCACTTAGTTGTGAATTGTTGTTGCGGGACGCATGCCGGCATTCACCTCGCCAAACCTCATTCGGTTTGCGCTTCTTTACAGCTGCATTTCTGAGATGGGAGAGGATTGTTTGTACGGCAGTCTTTAAGCAGTGAGTCAAGGCGTGTGAGTAGTTGGAGTCTAATGTCAGACTGAAGGGTCCATCAGGAGAGCCATTTGTGACTGCTAAGCGTGATGGTGTACAGACACGTCCATTTTGAACGTTTATGGGCTGTTGAAGATCTTTTTTTCATTTCACGCACACATTGTATGATGGGATAATCACTGCGAAGAGCTCGAACTTAATTCTAAATAAACTGATACTTAAAGGGAGTGTAGTATGCTCACTCGCGGCGTCAACAGTGAATGACATTGCTAATCAGTGTTGGCGAAGATTCATGAAGTGAGGCTAGTAGTTCCTAGCAAGGCTTGTTTTCGCTCTACAGGAGTCAAATCGGCTTGCCGAGAATGTGATTCGGAGCATTAACAGATCATCCTGTTACGCAAAGTTCATGAAATATTAAAAATCTATCGGCGTTTTCAAAAGTTCTGTCGTTTTTTGAACACTCCACTTTTGGATGCTCTATTTTTTTTTAAAACCCAGAAAAACTGCAATCGGTATGAATGCCGTTTTGAAGAGCTTTCCTGCTCTATCTCATGCTTAGCTTAGCTTTGTCCTAAAACATTTTCTCATAGCTTTTTCAAAGCTCTGAATGCGGTATACTCGATGAGCAAGTTGGCATGACTTTCTTTTTCTAGCTTTGAAATAGACCTGAAAGTAGCGAGGAACAGTTCAAGATATTAACGATGCACTTGGCCTAGATTCGCAATAAATGTGCTCATATGCAGTAGTTAGAAAATTTGTTTCCTCAATTAATTGCGTTTTACCTGATTAACAGAGAGGTTTGGGTGGTGTTGTGACCCTCTCAAGCCGTCAGCCTTAATGAGGTCCTTTCGCACATAGGGTGCGAAAATTTGGCTCGTACCATTGTTTACCCACCCGGTGCAGACCATGCACCACAAGTGACCGACGGCCTCTTCACAAAATGTTGATGTTTTCTGCCAATGAAATGATTAGCTTTGTTTGCAGTTGTATTCTATCGATTGTCACTAATTACAACTATCATTCACCAGAAATCAGCTATCACTATGAAACGTTGACGTTATATATGGTTGCTTTTACGGACAGCATGGCGTCCCCGAAAGAGCTTATTGAGTGGGTACGCATCCTTTACTCGAGCCCAAAGAGCCGAGTGCAAACGGCAGCAGGAACATCGATGGATTTTCCCATCTCTGTCGGGGTACATCAAGGCTCTGCGTTATCCCCACTCCTATTTGTTGTCGTCATGGATGCCATTACGAGAGATCTCCAGAAGCCGGCTCCATGGACGCTTCTTTATGCTGATGACGTGATGCTCGCTAGCGAAGATAAAAGCACGCTCGAGCAACAGGTGCAAGCCTGGTCCGACCGTCTAGCTATGTTCGGCTCAAGCTGAACGTCAAGAAGACTGAGTACTTGACCACCGATTCGAGTGAGTTAGGCTCTATTAAGATCAATGGTACTGAACTCACTCGTGCAACATCATTCAAGTATCTTGGATCAGCAATCGCGTCTGACGGCAGCCTGGTCGTGGAAACGAATTCTCGCGTGAATGCAGCCTGGTTGAAATGGCGCTCGATGACTGGCGTTCTCTGCGATAAAAACATGCCAGAACGTCTCAAATCTAAGATCTATAGGACCGTCATCCGGCCGGTCGCGATTTACGGTGCTGAGTGCTGGCCTACGACTAAAGAGATCGAAGCACGGCTCAAGTGTGATGGAGACCAAGATGCTGCGATGGACAGCCGGAGTCACACGAGTAGACCACATCCGAAACGATGTCATCAGAGAGCGATTCGGGGTGGCTCCAATTGTCGACAAGATGCGCGAAGCCCGTCTTCGATGGTATGGTCATGTCCTTCGCGCGAAAGATGACAGTGTCTGTAAGATCGGTCTCAACCTTGACGTGCCCGGAAAGCGGCCTAGGGGCGCCCGAAGCAGCGATGGCTCGATACGTTGCACGTAGACTTGAAGTCGTTAATATCCACCCCGATCAAGCATTTAATCGGGAAAAGTGGCGTCAACATATAAGAAAAGCGGACCCCGCCTACAAGCGGGACAGACGCTAAAGAATAAGAAGAAGAAGAAGAACCTTCTAACCAGATTTACTTGGAGGGCGTCGTCAGTTGTGGTTGTTTGTTCTGCACCCGACACTTTCTCGCTCTTTTTGGAG